CCAAGAGATGCCTGCTTTTCATAATTGGCATTGCTTACTGTGCGTTAAAAAACAAGGCTCAGAAGAAACAATATACCTCTCATAACCTTTTTGTGACATGAGACCATAGTAGAGTCGGCTTGATATGCTGTCATATAATTTATCTTTTAGCATTCAGTGATTGCACTTGCCTGATTTAAATACTAATCACCATAAAGGACTTTTTTTTTTTCTATCCCTGAAGTCACACAGTAGATTCAAATGTGGAACATTTACTTTGCTTCATATTTAGCTTCAGATTGTATAGCACCTTTAGCCAGCCATTGTAATTTTTTACTCTGTGGCTCCTGATTGAAATATAATAATCTTTAACCAAGAATTCCTGTGAGAAAGTATGTCTGAGATATAGTCATAAAAACATTCACGCAAAGTGTTATTCTTTTTATTATTTGAGATTTGGAATCCTTAGAGCTTAAGCATTGTACAGCTGTTAAAACAACCAACCTGTCAATCCTCAGTAATGGCATGAAAAGATTAGGCTACTATAATTTAGCCATTTTACTTTTCACTTTTAATGTTAAAAAGACTGTAAACTTTATTACCTAGTGCCTTGTACAATATTAATGAGTCTAAGTTTATTGGAGTAATTTTGCAAGAGGATTTAACTTTTTTAAATTGTAATGAGAGGGCCCTTTTTTCTAGCCAACTTGGATTGTAGGTATCATTTATCCTGGTAGTCACACTTGGATTCCATGTTCCATGGCTTCAGTTTACCAGGATCTGAGTCAGGAATCTCAGGCTGCGTGCATCTGGGAGCACAGTTATGTGGCAGTGGCCATTCTGGCTGTATTCATATCTCTCTTTGGGTATGAGGGTCATTCCAGTAGATTCAGAGCTTATGGTCAAAAACTGAAATGCACATTGTTGCTACCAGTAATCTTATACTGTTATTCTCCAATGGTTTCTTTTCCTAGTATTGAGAAACTGTAAGAGAACTAAGGTGCTTTTGGAAAATTGAAGCTAGTAAATGGAAAAAGAACACTGTCTTGGTGTGGTAGGCAGAATAATGGGGCTCCAAAGATGTTTACATTCTCATGCCAGGAACCTGTGAATACATTAGGTTATATGGCAAAGGGAAATTAAGGTTGCGGATGGAATTAAGATTGCAAATCAATTTACCTTAAAATAGGGTAACTATCCTGAGTTATCCCATTGGGCCCAATGTAATTACAAGGGTCCTTGAAAGGAATAGGGAAACGGAAGACAAGAGATTGTTGGAGGAAGATGTGACTGGAAGAAAGTCGTAGAGAGATTTGACAATGCTGGGTTTGAAGATGGAGGATGGAGCCAGGAGACAAGGAGTGTGAGAGGTGTCTAGAAGCTGGAGAGGAGAAGAAAATGGTTTTCCTCCTATAGTTTCCAGGAACGCACACCTG